TATGACATTTTATGCCTTACTATACTGTGACGTTTTTATGACATTTTACGCCTTACTATACTATGACGTTTTATGCCTTACTATACTATGACGTTTTTATGACATTTTATGCCTTGCTATACTAAGACGTTTTTATGCCTTACCAAAATATGAGATTTTTATGCCTTACTATACTATGACGTTTTTATGACATTTTACGCCTTACTATACTATGATGTTTTTATGCCTTACTATACTATGACATTTTATGCCTTACTATACTATGACGTTTTTATGACATTTTATGCCTTACCAAATTATGATGTTTTTATGCCTTACTATACTATGACCTTTTATGCCTTACTATAATATGACATTTTTATGACATTTCATGCTTTACTATACTATGACGTTTTTATGACATTTTATGCCTTACTATACTATGACATTTTTATGACATTTTACGCCTTACTATACTATGACATTTTTATGACATTTTACGCCTTACTATACTATGACATTTTTATGACATTTTACGCCTTACTATACTATGACATTTTTATGACATTTTACGCCTTACTATACTATGACATTTTTATGACATTTTACGCCTTACTATACTATGACATTTTTATGACATTTTACGCCTTACTATACTATGACATTTTTATGACATTTTACGCCTTACTATACTATGACATTTTTATGACATTTTACGCCTTACTATACTATGACATTTTTATGACATTTTACGCCTTACTATACTATGACATTTTATGCCTTACTATACTATGACTTTTTATGCCTTACTATACTATGATGTTTTTATGACATCTTACGTCTTACTATACTATGACGTTTTTATGACATTTTATGCCTTACTATACTATGACGTTTTTATGACATTTTATGCCTTACCAAACTATGACGTTTTTATGCCTTACTATACTATGACGTTTTTATGACATTTTACACCTTACTATACTATGATGTTTTATGCCTTACTTTACTATGACTTTATGACTTAATATATTATTACTGTCAAGTAAACCTCAAGAATGTGCAGCTTCTCTACTTGAAAGGGATTGGTCCATCCACCCAGATTTAACTGGATTTTACTCAATGATAACACATTTCTTTCATTTGTTGCTTTTATTTTGGATGATTCAACAGTCTCAGATACATTCTCTGGTCATTTATTATCATCAGGTGAAAAACCTTAAAAATACACAACAGTAAAAGAGAAAACATATACATTCATACATAAGCAACGAATGATCACATAATTCGTTCCTTCAAATTATTTGTAAATAATTCAGCACGTTTTACATTAGACATAAAGCATTTTTACAAAGCATTATATAATCTATAGGTCTTTTAAACAACCCACTTATTTTTCAAACAACCCTTTTCTTAAATTGTATTTAATGTTTTAATATCAGTTATTTCACAATTTCTTTGGACTAAAAAAATGATTAACCAAGGTGATTTTTAAGTCATATCAACCATTATTTTTTCAACATCAACATAACAATAATAATAATAATCGTCCTCGTCGTCATAAACATTCAAGGAACCCAGACAGACACCGGACATTTCGCTCTAACGAGCCGACCACAGCATGAGGCTGACACTACCTGGTGCAGCAGGTAGGATCAGTTGTGGCAGTACTATGACTTTTTATGCCCTACTATACTGACATTTTATGGCTTACTATACTATGACGTGTTTTGACGTTTTTTATGCCATTTATGACTTCATGACTTAATATACTATGATTTTTTTATGACTTTTTATGCCTTACTATACTACGTCTGTTTGATGGGGCAGCACAGTGATGCAGTGGTTATAACTGTCATCCCACAGTGAGAAGGGTCTGAGTTCGAACCCCGGGCCTAGGGCCTGCGTGGATCCTTGGCTTCCTCCCGCAGTCCAAAGACAAGCACATTAGGTTAATTAGCAACTTTAATGCCTTACTATACTATGGCGGCATTAAACAGGTGACAGCACTGGAAATTCATTGGCTGTCAAGGCAATCGTGTGTCTGTCTTCAGAAATCAATGAAGTGAACATCGATCACAGGAGTCAACAAACAATATGATACAGTATTAGACAGAACCCCCAGAAGGAAAAAGAGAGAAAATGGAAAATAAATGAAGGGATAAAATTAAGTAATAATACAATGTGTTAAAAAAGAAATAGATACATAAACTACATAAAATACATAAAATGAATTAAATTAAACTTACAAGAGTAGAAAGAAAGAAAACAAAAAATGGAATAAAATACAATAAAATAAAAAATATTTTTTATTTTAGTTAAAAAAAAAACAATGGAACAACCCATGAAGAATGGTTTGAATACATATGAAATAAATGGTAAATACAAATGACCATAAATTTACCATTTACATAGATACAATAATCAATCAGGTGTAATCAACCTTTTTTATATTTACCACTACTGTTCTTCTTCCTTTCCACCTCTTTTTTTACCTGATATTCTCTTTCCTCCTTCTCCATGTCTTCACGCCTGATCCAGCTCTGATGATTACCCAGAAATCCAGAGGCTTTTCCCTGTTGCTGACATCCAGTACATCCCAGACGCGAGCCACTGGATCCACGCAGACAAACCCTTAGATTTCATCAGCTCCATCATCTCCTTCCTTCAGTCGTAGCTGCCCCCAGTCTACACCTCAGAACTTTTTTTAATGCTCAGCGCCTCTGAGAGTCCGCTCGCCGAAAACCAAGGTGAGAATTCAGCAGCTTCAGCAAGAGCGAGTGGAGTCATTAAAGATGCTAATATTTGCAAACACTGGACCAAACTCGCCCTTTTACAGCAGTCAGTTCTTACCTTTTAACAGTGTCAAATGTAGTGTAGTGTAGTGTAGCGTAGGCTTTCTTTTGTTTAGTCTCTCTGCCAGACAGGTAGTGTTACTAGATTGGCTGGTTTCTAGATGTGTTTTCATTGGTTTTTAGATCAGTAGGTAACAATGAAAATATCTGGAATTTAACATAATGGGGCTGTTTTGGAGGTGATATACTAATCCAAAGAAACTCTCATTTGCACAGTGCTTTCTTCATGTCAATACATTTATGCCAGTGTAATAGAAAAGTGGATTTAGGCCAAGTACAATCTGGGACCGCAAAAATGGACCAGCAGTAAGAAAGTTTTGACATCACTGGAATGAAACACATACTGTATATCTGAGAAGCTCTTCGTGAAGAGAAGGGAAGAATGTGCAAAGCAAAAATAGTTTCTTTGCCCAGGGGGGCGGTTATCGGGTTATCGTGGTGTCATGTGTCAGGAGGCTTTCGCTCTGTAAAGAGGCTGTAATATAGACTTAATGTGTACAGATGGTTTGTTGTAGAAATTTGATAATAGAGATATATTCAGTATTTTGTTTTGGTTTTAATTCTCCCTCATCTTCTCCTCTGTGTATCTGCTGAATGGCAGAGATGAGGATTTCACAGGTCTCTTACTCTGTCACTACTCGAGCTCATCAGGAGCACTGGTTATATTTTTATTCCAACATAATCATCGATGAAAACCAATCTGAAACGCTCAAAGTGCAGTATTGTCACAATCTGTTCCCTGAAGATCTCAGGTTACAACTGGACATGCTAGTCATTCTACTCCTCTACTCTTCTTCTGTCTGTCTGGCAATAAGCCGTGGTAACGTCGTTGTGTCTTTGTATTTGCTCAGTCCAATCTGTGTTTTGATGAAACATGTTTTACTGATTTATTATCTTTATCTCACTTATCTTTACAACTAAGGCGCAAGACTCGATGGGTATTCTCACAAATATATGCTGCAACAATGTACCTTGTTATCTGATCGTGATAGTGTTAATGTCATTTCTGTTTCCATGGGTTTGAACAGTACAGTCCAGTAGTGAAACTGCCATCTGTATGAATAAGCAGGGTGTTGTAAATTTGTATGTGCCTCTTTTGTCAAGAGCTCCTTTTCCATTTCTGTAAAACTTGATTAAAAAAAAAGGAACATTTTATTCTACAACAATAACTAACAGACTTTAGATTGGCAGCTGGGTTGCCAGTTATGTGTGAATTTTCTCACAAGAAAGCTTAACACATGGGGGTGAGTCCCTTCATGAGACCAGATGTTTACTACAATCAGTGTTTTGTGTTTGTTTGATGTGAATATGGAAGTCTGAAAGGCTTTAAATGATCAGAATTAAGTTGAGTCAAACTCTTATTTAATTTGTTTATAAAGCCTCAGTCAGTGGAGAGGCACCCCTTCGTCCTCCTCTACCACAGCACAGATGTGTCATGTAGCACAATATGAATAGATTGTGGGGGTGGGGGTGGGGGTGGGGTGGGGTGGGGGTGGGGGTGGGGGTGGGGGTGGGGGGGGGGGGGGGGGGGGTTGCTGACATTTGAATGCAGGTCCTGTTTCAGCTTCTATGGTGTTACAGTGGGACACAAATACGTCAAAAGGGAGCTCTGTGTCAACAATATAGAAAAGTGAATTTATTCAGTGACATTGTAAAGCGGTTTGGAGACTGTAATCATCTGTTCAGGATTGTATATTGTTTCTCTGTGAGCATGCCTTTTCTCTTGTCATCGGGTGTGACTTTGCTGTGCTATATACGTCTCAGTTTGTTCCCACATTGGTGGCGCTTATTCGAAATAATGGCATATATATATACATATATATATATATATATATATATACATTTTAAATGTGTGCAAGCCCATATAGGAGTGGATTATATATTATTGAAAATGTACAAACTGATATTATACAATAAAATAGCAAAAATCTGCAGTGTTTTTTTTTTCTTTTGAATCTTGAAAATGCAACAAACAAAAGTGCAGAAAATGAAGGATCAGAGATGACATGACAGTGTCTCACAATGTCTAAATTTCATGTATTTACAACATGACAACAATAACAATGTTCAGGAGATTAAATGTGAAGCATTAAGTGTAAACGGTATTAAACAAATACATGGCTCATTCATAATTATGAATTAGTTATATATATAAATTACATGAGTCAAAGATCCACGACATGTTTGCTGTAATAATTTGTGTTTGACATGGTTTCTCCTCAGAAAGTTCAATTACCTCGTTGACTGGAGGGAGACTAAATTGTTACACAGGAGAGATGAGTATCAGATTGAATGTACTTAGTGCAAAGTTATCACTGCTTCAATCAAGTGATACGACCTGGAAGCCGCTGTCATCTCTATTATACTCTGAATCCTGCCCCACTGCATCTTCTCCTTGACGACTGCTCTTGCCCCGCTTCAACTTGTCCCTCCAGTTGCGTTGGGTGCTGGTAGAAGGAGACGTGCTGGGAGCAGAAACCGCAGCTCTGGAGATGAAGATTTGGCTTGAGTTGGTGGTGGGAGGGGCGGGAGCAGACAAAGGGAAATTGGATGGCCGCTGGACCGGCGGTCGATTGTTTCTCCTCAGGATGCCCAGGCGGGAGGGCTTCTTCTGGGCCTGCTCCGCCTCCTGCTGAATCCTAAGCTGCTGTTGGAGCATTAGCTGAACGTCCTCCTGTGGCAAGTCAAGGAAAACAAACAGGATGTCAGAGAGGATGTAAGTTGGGTCAGAAAAGGAGGAGAGTAATGTAGTTTTCCTTTTCACTGAAGGGAGGGAAAACTGACTTTTTTTGGGAGGATTGTTTAATTTTTACTCACCCCAAATATTTATTTCAGCCATTGCAAAATGAATCTAAAACAAGGATTAAATTGTCACACATGATGGGTTTAGTGTGTTTAGTGGGTCATAAAACTGTAGAGGAAACCTGTCAGTGTTTGCAGGCTTCATTTTTCAACTCACTCAAAGGACCAATCTGTCAGTTATGAGAAACTAATTAGACGGGTATTTATAAATTATGGATAACAGTGATTAAATGTAATCAATTTAGTCTTCATCATCACTAAAGTTTAAAAAGTTGGCCTTTATTATAATTAAAATGTATTTTATTTAATCCCTCTTTATTCTAAAATAGAGAGTGGCTGGATTATTCATAGTTTTATGTTTGCCATAAATTTAGAAATGACTAATTCCACTTCTTGGTGTGTTTGGTAACTATTGTGAAAATTATTATTCTACTGATATACTCGGGTTTATATTAGATTATATCATCTCAAATCCTTTATCCTTTCAAAACTGTATGGCTAAAGGACTGTAGGTGGTATAACGTACCAAGAGGAGGGTCTATAAACTGCAAATAAATTATTACAGCAAAGACAATATTAAGAAAAATGCAGCACATGAGGGAAATAAACATAATAGAATCCCACTTTAATATTTCTGAACACAAGTAGTAGGATGTGGGTTGAGTTTGATATTATTTTATAAGATGTGTTTTCAGATCAGTCCAGTATCCACCTTTCCCCACTAGCAGTAACCCAGAAAAAATATTTAAGATTACAACCCTAAAACAGAAGGATTTGTTTCCACAAATATCCTCAAATCTGAATATTTTTTGTCAATTACAAAAAGATCTGTGAGGCTACCATTTATACAGCAAACTTGTATACTAAAAATAATAGTTCTCTCTTTACAGCAGTTTAGGTGAAATCAGTTTAGGACTGCAGCAGCTGCTCTCACCAGTAAACCTGTGAAGTGCAGTGTAGTTTCATCTTAACGCTGCCGGGAGCCGGTTATCACCAGATGAACACGTGGGCCTGAAGCCAAGACACAGTAGCAGGAGACCAGCTGGTACTACCTATATACACTGTATGTGCTGAACAGTGTGTGTGAATATTAACTGCAGTTTGTGTGTGTTTTACGGCTGAACACATTCTGGCTCCTGAGAGTAACATGTACTTAACAGTAATTAGGTGTGTGTGTGTGTGTGTGTGTGTGTTTTTCGTGTGTGGGTGTCCTACTTTTCTAGATTTCACTGGCTGAGTCCCTTATGTTCACATTTTCCCACCATCTCTAGTTTGCTCAGTGTGACACCATGATGTTTTCATGAGGGACTTTAGTTCTGCATTTATCCAGAGGGAACACCTCTCCCTTTTCAGCTGATTCACTTTTTGTTTTTTATCTCTGTTAAAGATTAAACTCTCAGGTTTACCTTCCAGGCCTCGAGCTCCAGCGACATCTCCAGACGTTTCTGTACGGCCTCCAGCAGCTGGTTGTTCAGCGTCATCATGTCTGTCTTGCTCCTTAGCAGCTCGTCCTCCATCGCCTTCTTCCTGCACAGCGGAACAGAAAGAATGACACATTCCTCGGTATATGTCCTCCAACTTCCTTTTTTTCCTTAAATCTTGATTCATGTCTTACTTGGAGGAGGTGAGTGTCACTGTGTACTCACTTCTCTATTGCCTCATCTCTGTCCCGCAGAGCCTGCTGCAGGATAGCGATGTCCTCTGCTCCTTTGCCTTGTCCAGATTTGAACTCCTGAATGGACAGCAAGCAGAGGAGGCCGGTTATGTTTATTTTCTCGTTTAACTTCACTGACTTCACTCTTTCTTATCTGTCATTGTTCCAGGATTCAAATGTAATCCCTCTGTCATTCACACACGTCAGGACTTTTTCTAAACTCCTGACTGACATACAGTAAATACCAGACAGACTGAGGTCACTGATACAGTCACTTGGGAACCTGTCAGACCACATAGCTTAGCTTTAACACCTGGGCAGGGAAATTAAAGGTTGTTTCAAGGAAACGATGGGGGAGATGCTTCATCACAAGATGCTTCTCACACAAGCATTAACATCTACACACAGGCCTCAAGTCTTATTTTTAAGCTTGTTATATTTAACTTCCTCGCTGACAGTATAAATCCTTGCTGCCATGCCAAAAGTATATTAATGATTCTTTTATAATTTGAAAGCATCTTGAAATAAGGCAGCTACTTCTATGAAGTAATATAATCAGATTTTGAATCGAAATTGATCATTAAAAACTCATCTAAATAATTTGCGACCTTTGTCACCTGCCAGCGTTTGGTTCCACGAGCATGTGCAAAGCAAACATTCTTCCGAGTAACATGCCCACTAAAATCACTTCAAACTGAGATTGTAAGTAAACTGTGAGGAGCTTTATGTGAGTATATGTGGGTGTTGCCTTCACCTGTTTGGTGTTGCTAATTGCCAGTTTGCGGGCCACACTCTGCAGCTGGGCCAGGGCGGCGTCCAGACAGTTTTCCCCGGGAGAGGGTTCAGGTGTGCTGGACTCGGACTCTGTCAGCGGGTGCAGCAGCCGCAGAACGGACAGGACCTCCTCTGTGACCTGGGATAGAAATGAATAGAAGTAAATCATAATGATCCAGCAGAGTTCTGTGTAGTGGCGCCGTGTGTGACCTTTACCCTCTCTCTGTGCTGGCTCCAGCCCGGCCCATCTCTGCTCTCCTGCAGTTTGTCCACCTGGGCCTTGAGCCTGATGCTTCGTTTGCGAGACAGCTCCACTTCTCTGCGCACTTCATTAAGCTGCACACAATAAATGTAACGTCAGTACATTTCAACAAGGTACACCATCACTTTTCTTTTTTTTTTTTTTTTTGCTGTGCAAATAATAGCAGGCCCACACACACAGAAAGCACTACCTCATGACATTTTACACAATGTAAACAGAAACTGATAATCTAGATTCCTGGTCGTCCAGTCGTACTGGCTGAGGTGTTGTTCAGCACACAAACACAAGCACTGCAAATAGGCACAAAATGAATACATTCATAGACACACACTCAAAGTCACACAAAGAAACCTGAGAAGTGAAAGCTTTTAACATAAATTGTGAGGCACTAAACATTTTCCACTTTGTACTCGTCATTACAAATCAAGCTCTGTCAACACGGTGATAATGTGTCATCAAAACCATAAAGGATGTTCACTGCAAACTGAGGCTTACTGGACATGATCATACCTCTTTATGTTGAGGAACAAGATTTCTTCAACTTTGCATTTTTAACTTTAAGCCTGAAATAATTCTGAATGACAGTTGAGACCGTCTCCTCCCTGTATAACAGGTTCTGTTGCTGTTTGACGAGCCCGTTTCTAGCAGAATAGATTTAAATTACGCTGAACAAAGATTCTCTCTCATGCTAAACACACACAGACATTAAACAGACTGTTATCCCACCGTGTCAGAGACATGTCCCAGTGTCCTGCGTCTGCTGAGCGGCCTGCCATTCTTCAGCAGGTCTGGTAAAGTCCCGTTAATGTAGCTCCTCTGGAGAGATTTCCCACCTTCACTGGCCAAGCAGACAGACACTGACTCCTCTGAGTTCAGTTCACCTTGATTGTCTTTCTCCTCGGAGTGTGAGGAGCCACTGTCCTCGTCAGCCAGCTCCTCTTCACTGAGACCTTTTAAGTTCATCTCAGTGATGAGGATTGAGTTGCTCATGGAAAGCAGATCAGCACAGTTTCCTTCTTTAAAGCCATCACAGACGAAATCCTCCTGCTCTGCCTCGTCTTCGGGTTCCTCAGGATCATCCGGCTCTGCTGAGGTCACATAGACTCTTGGTTCTGGTTCTGCTGGGAGAACCGTTGGTCGGTAAGATGAGGAGCGGCTCCTGAGGGAGCCCAGCTGTTTGTCCTCCATTCGGTTCAGGGAGGAGTAGAGCTGTTCACTGGTGGTGCATCGAGGTCTCAGGCTCTCGTTGAGCAGCGAGAAAGGCTGAGAGTAGTTCATGATCTTTGTCGAAGTCACAGGCAGAAATAAACCACCTGCAGTAACTGGAAGGCTGTGTACCTGAAAGAAGAACACAGAAAGACTAAGAGGAGGGAGGATGACAAACTGAAATGTCTCCAAACTTGTTTTTCCTGAATTGTGTGCGTCTTCACAGGGACACGACCTGACATGATGTGATGTCACTGGAGGCTGTTGGCTTCACGTGGTCCGTCTGGGTTTTTCTTCCTCCTTTCAGTCACTACACAAACACATGACGTGCAAACATGCCAGAGCTGCAGGGTAATAAAGGAGGGAGGGCTGTTGATCTTTTGACACAAGAAAATTATTCAGGTTTGACGCAGGATACCTGACTGAAACAGAAAGCTTCATTTACATTTAGTGTCAAAGGTAAACATACAACAAAGGCAAGTTGACTCTCTGCTGCAACTTAAAATAACTTAAAGAACTGACAAAACCACACGACGAGTCATGGATTTATTTTTGGAATTGAAATGCTTTGGGGAAAACACCAGATATAGTGTTTCCTCGTAGTTGGGTAATTTTTAGTGACAAACCTCCTACATACATGACCAGAGATGAGTCAGTGACACGTACACTCATCCTACTTTATAACTTTGCAGGCAGATGGGAGGTGATTTGAAGGCTGCAGCCAAAGTACAATAAAAGCCACACCACAATTATCTGAGATTTTACTGCCAATCCAACACGATGTTTCCTCATTCCCTTATTCCAGAGGGCCACGGTGTTCTGCCAGTTTTACTTTGTTATGTTCATGTCACGTTTTCACTTGGCTGTTTGCACACTGTCTCGTAATCTTATTCAGCGTTTTGTCTCGGTGCAGCAGGAAGTGGTTCACGGTTGTGATGTGTGCACATGTGGTGTGAAGTGTTTTCCTTCTCGTGTCCATCTAAAAGCCATGCATCAAACTTTTTGTCCTGAAAACTTTTGCAGGAAGCCGGTCCCCGCTTCATTAGACCCACAGTGCTTCACAGTAAAACTGTTGATTGCTGATTGTGACCCTGTTCTCCATTCTCCCCTCTAATATTTGACATTATATTCTACGTCCAACCTAATCAAAGTATGTGAGAAACGCTGCCTGTTCCAGGACGTATAGAGCACGTGCTGTTGTATTATTACTCAACGCAGCAAACTTGTGTCAACATGTCATTTAGTCTCATATTCAGGCTTCAAGACTTTTTTTTCTTAAAACTTTCTGCCAGTGGGCTGAGGCAAAAACCATTACATCTCAGTTTTGTTTTAATTGTTGCAGCAATATTTTCAGAATAACAGTCAATAAATAGACAGACGTAGGCACATCTCTGCAAGAACATCAAGCTCAGAATTAATCCTAAACAAATTTAGATTTATATTTAAAACAATTAATTCTCCTGTTTGTCTTTATTTAAGCTTATTTTATCATCTATTTTATTTTACTGCTAAATACTATTTATACGTCTTTTTATTTCATCTTGAGTTTCTTTTTCGTCTTATTCTGATGCCTTTATGTCTAGTAAAGGACTTTTCATTGTCTTGTTGAGAAAGTTGCCTCGTCTTGTTTGTTTTATGAAAAAATACGATTTTATCACTCAAGTTACTTAGAGGCATAGTTAAACATTTTGAGAAATAAGTTTATTTGCTCTCTTGCTGAGAGTTAGATTAGAGGATCGTTATCACTCATGTTTTTAAATTATACGAAGCTGCAGATTATTTATAGCTTGTTCCCTTATCTTAGCATAAAGACCACAAACGGAGGCAAACAACTAGCCTGGTTCTGTCCCATGATAAACAGCGCCTTTAACGCTGACCAATTAACTCATTATATGTCATTTATTAAATCCAAACAAAAACAGAAGCGTTAAAACAACACTCTTTTGTGGGAGGTTACATGCTGTTTATACATGACTGTTTAGTCTGGGAACAGTGACTTCTTGGAGGCCAGAAAAGAAACAGTGCAGCCCTTGTAAAATGGAGAAATGTAATTTTTACATTTTAGTTTTTGTTCAAGCAAAATAAATAAATAAATACACAATGTTAATTAGAGAAATTTAGAGATGTTGGCAGTTGAATGTTGTTACAGTTGGACAGAGCCAGTTGTTTCCAAACTTTGTGCTAGACTAAACTCCACCTGAAAGCAAACACATTACATTTTTCCTTGAAGGTTTTTGTTTGTTTGTTTGTTTGTTTGTTTTGTTGGTTTCGCTGCAGCATGGATTGAAGTTTTAGGACTGAAGAGTCCAGGTCACAAGTCACAAGTCTAAATCCCACTAATAATGTATTATACAATAGTTTCACATTATCATTCAACATTATTAACACTGATGCAAAAGGCTTAATGTGTAGAGAAACTCTGCATGGGCTTCAGACATGAGTTGTGGAGGTGTCCAGTGAAAATATCAGGAAGTTCAGATGCAGCAGAAAAGGAGAAAGAACAACGGGGCCGATGTAAATTGTCGTATATAAATTGCAACACTGTCCTACTGTTATGTTGTGTTACAGGAACAAAACTGCCTGTTCTGTTGTTGCCATGTGAAAATATTTGACAATGAAAAAACGATTCAGTGTCACTGATAAATGTCCCTGTGTGTTTGTGTGTGTGTGTGTGTGTGTGTGTGGTGAGATCTTTCCTTGTGAGCAGAAAGAAGGCTCAGTTTGACAGTTTAGACCTAAACAAACGTTTGGTAAAACACTTTATCTGTGGTGTTTAACAGACTCAGTCCAAACGACCTCTCAGCTGGCCACTCGGGATGAGAAAGTAAACAAAGAGACAAAGACAGGATTAGAGGAGACCATCACTAAAACCAATGGACCAATTTACTCTCCGGTCACATAAAAAGACAACAAAAGACAGATCCCAGCATGTGGAGGGAAGAACACCAGTGCTGACAGTCACACAGTGACCTATTTCTTCCAGTCAGGGAAGAAAGCCAATGTGTCTTCAGTCATACCAGTAGCATTTTGATTATTTGGGGCTGTGCACACCTACATTAGGAAAAACAGTGAGAAGGGACTTTTTTTTGGGAAAGTTGTTTATTGTGTTTGATGTTATGTATTAGTATGTTTGTGTTTATTCTTTATCAAATTCATTAAAAAAATCTAAGCTCTCCACAGGAGAAATAGTTTGTTCCTACACTCATGCCTTCCTGTTACCATCATCACTCATTAATAGTCATTCTTAGTCATGAAGATTTCATTGGTCCTTTGCTTTTTTTTTCTTGTTCTTTCTCAGCTTGAAAGTCATTAGATCCATTAATTGCACCTGAATCAATAAACACTTATATTCATATGGTTCATATGGACATTACTGTCATTCACTTACTACTCCTGTTTGTCTGTAAACTTCCTGTTTGTTGCTACAGTTCTGTTTTGTCTTTCTTCTTCCCTTGTTTCTGTCCATCGTCGGCAGCACACCTGAATCCCAGGTTATCAGAGGCGGAGTCAGGAGTGTTGCCCATCCTGCAGGACACAGAATCATAACCATCGGTCAGTCAGGACAGCTGCACAGCTGTTCTATAAAGTCTGAACGTACAGTGTTTTCTTTTAAATGAAATAACCCACCTGGTTGTGACTCGAGCCTTATGATTGGCTGACCCATCCACCGTGTCGATCCAGGAGGCACCACGCAGCACATACATTGGCTGCGCTCCAGGAAAGGGCGTGACTGTCCATTCCCATGTGTTTCCCATCATGTCATACAGTCCTGCAGGAAGAATCAACATTGTTCTTATAATATTAAGAAGCACACAGCAAAAATACACCCTCATCATATTTCAATTTTTTTCCTTTAACCAATCAAAGGCAATCAGATTTCCTCAGACTCTTTGGTTCAATATGTTTCTGTAACATCTTTTTCTATTGCTCTCAATGCATCTCTGTTGCAGTGTAGCACTTGTATTATTATGTAATGGCATTAATGTTTTTTTTTTATTTACTAAGGGTCAGTTACCGTAGCTGTTCTGAGGAGGAAATGCTGTGACAGGAGAAATGCCATGGTATCCATCCTCTGCAGTGTCTCCTTCTGGAAACGATCCCTACAACACACAGAACAAAAACACCAGTTATTTATTATAAACATGTTTGTTGATATTGTTGATAAATGTTCAAATGCTTCTGTGTGAATATCTATTGGTGTTCACTGATTTCGGAAGTAAAATTTAATATTGAATCTGAACCCAGGACCAAACCTGCTTATCGAATCTGAATCCTTTCAAATCCCTTAATGAGTCTTCTCTGAGTAGTTTGTTTGTTGGGAATGAAAACATCTTTCAGTTAAAATATGTTCAATTTTTATTTCACCCACTTTAGTAACAAAACAAATTTCATCTGTTTTGTGCAACAAAGATATAACAACACAATTGGTCATTTTAATTGTGATTTATGGGCCAATTAGAAGACAATCATTAACCCTGTCCTGACTGCTGTGAGGGAAAATGGTGTTTGCTCCTCTTCTTCTCTTTGCCGATGCCTGTAGCGTCAGAGAGGGGGGCAAAAGAGACTAAACAGAGAACGTGAATGAAAGATTCAATACAGGATTTGTTGGCCCTGGATTTAACAAATCTGGGTATTTTACCAACTTAAACCCAAATCCAAAATGAAACAATCCCTAATTTTGACTGCATCATAGTCTATTTAAAAACAACACACAATTACCTTTAGATAGATCAGTCTTTCATAACCTAAACACCCAAATTTATATATTTAACCAGAGAAAGTAGAAGCATTTTCTGGAGACATGAGTGGAAAATTATCACATATGAGTGTTTTTTTAAATAAACACATCAGTGAATCCCCAGTCAGAGCATTGTATGACGACTATATACTGTGCTAATGCTATAGCAACATGCATTAATGTAGTAGGCTGACCTGCCACAGGTTGGTTCTGTTGGCCTGGAACTTATTCCCCCACGGATAGGTCCGACCTGAAATACAAGAGGCAGGAAAGAGATAAGTGCACAGCAAACAACTACACACTAAATATTGAGCCGGGGGTTCATGAAAACTAGTTTCCCTTCTCTCTTCTTTGACTCATGAAGACACCTCTCATGTGTGTTGTATCTGAAACACTATCTAAACTGCACTTCTGGACAAATTCAGTAGTTCTGGAGCAGACTGACCAGAGGCATCAGTGTGAGTCTAGAGTAGATACAAACAAACTGTCAAAATGGTAAAAAACTCTATTATATTGATGGAACATGTAGTATGCAGTGGGCTCCAAATGGGAAAGTGGTCTCAGACTTTTGGACCCCACTGGATATTCTAAGGTTTCGGTGTATAAATGATGTACCTTGCAGCCCCCCACGTGCAGCCCACTCCCACTCCTCTTCAGTGGGCAGTCTCTTGCCCTTCCACTGGCAGAAGGCCTGAGCGTCATTCCAGCTCACCTGAACCACTGGGAAGTCCAGGCGCTCCCGGATGCCTGAACCGGGTCCTGCAGGCTGAACAGCAGAGAGTCAAAGGGGTGAAAGGCAGGCGATGAAGGCATGATGGATTGCAGAAAGATGAGAAGGATTACAGAAAATGGTGGGGAAAAAAAATAGAAATCCAAGGCAAGACATAGAACCCTACCTGCCTCCAAAACACCCGCTCTATAGGCAACCACCAAGGAGCAGACTGGATGGGAAACAATGAGTTAAAAGTGAAATATTAATGTTTTTATATTGAAAATTGTATATTTCTTTCAGTCTTATATTTTCATAACAACATAAAACGGCCCAGTACCTCAATCTTCTGTGTGACTTTGCCCTTCAGCTCTTCAGACACAAAGTCTTGAAACACAAAGCTCCAACCAAAAGTCTCAGCTTCAGTTTTGTACTTCTGCGCTCTCACAAAGTCTCTGTGGAGAATGAAGGTTAAGTCAGTGGCTTTTTAATTTATTTTTGTAACTCATTTTCCACCTCAATGTCAAGTTTAAAAATTCAATACCTGAAATTTGCATTCGTGACAGGATATTTGTCCATTTGAAAAGGTCCCAGTGTAACCTCCTTGGTGTGGGACTCTCCATCTCTCCCGTCAGCTGCTCTGGTTCCCATCAACATCTTTCCTCCTGGTATATTCAGCATCTCATCTGCTGCTGTGTGTCGGGGTAAAATCGACCAGATCATGTGGATTAAATGTTATTATAATTTACGTTTTGGTGTGTTCAAAAATGAAAGGGAGTTCTTACCTGCCACGGTTAGTAAAAGCACAGCGAATATCCAGGACACGATTTTAAGGTTCATTTTTAACAAGCTTGTTTGAGCTAACACTCAGCTGACATAACGCATTTAGCTATATGATAAAGGTTACACATAACAGTTTTAAGAGACCTAGCAGCAGGACTTCTCAAACTTCAATTAAACGCATATTGTTCTCCTTTTCTGTCGGACACATTTCACGGTCGCAACGGAGATGGGTGCAACAAAAACGAGGCTCCGTGTAAAGATAGAAGGTTCCGCTTTTTTTTCCTTTTTTACTTGACGAACTCATTTCTTTTCATGAACGTTTTCTCCGCGTGAGCGATATCGTATTAAGTTGCACTATATTAAAGAAAATAAAACACTGCTTCTTGCTTTGAGGGAACCCCCGAAATTTATGCTACTTTATGTCCATATTATATTTGATGGCAGTTTTTACAGTACTAGAATATTCTGAATAAGGCTAAAAGAACATTGGTCATAATTTGTATTCAGCATATTATGTGCAGTGGTACATTATTAAAAAATTGTACTATAGCAGAGGTATAAGTATTTACACACACACACACAGAGTTAAGTACAAGAGAAACACTCCGGTACCAAAAAGATTGTACTAATGTAAATTAACTTTTTCTCATCCTATCACTGCTTGTGTGTTAGTTTTAGTCTAGATGTGGTTGACACATTCAATGTGGTTCATGCATTTTTTGATCCATTCACTCTTCACAGAAAAACAACCAACTTCCAGCAACCAACAAATCTTTCAGGAGCCAAGAAAACCTTTAATGGGTAGAAACAAAACTGAGTGACAGAGGTCAGTGCTTTTAACAAAATCTCATAAATAAACCAATCAGAGGGAGGCGTTGACAAATCCATGAAAAAAAAAGACCATGACTAGCATAACAATGATTTCTGACGGACACTGGATGGATGCCGTGGTGTGTACAGCAGGCTGTCCATCAGACTGGGGTGCTTCAGAGTGCCAAGAGCGGGAACACGTTGACTGAACCATCAAGGTAAACAACTATCCCTGTGAGTATGATAACAGTTGCAGCTTCTTCACTTGACCTTTAACCTTTGAGAGAAGACATTCCAGCTCGCATGATCTCGTCCACCAACAAAATGTTGCTGGCAATCACCGTGCTGTAAGGCAAAGCAGACCCATGTATTAATGAGGAGACAATGAATCAGGACCATTTAAAATATTCCACTGGTCTTGTGTGGTTTAGAAATGCATAATCTCACCATGAATGGAGAAGCTGTTTCTTGACACTGTAATTGTCCCATACACCTGCGTCTCCTGCCACCATGGCTTCCCCTGGAAAAACAACAGGATTTAAATAAAGCAACGTTGTAATAAAGAGACTCATGCCTAAAAAAGAATTAATCTTAACCTCAAACAGCGTAAAAAAGATAACCGTGACTCAAAATACAATATGCAGTCTTAGAGTTGTACAATTAATGGAGTCTTGTGTCTTTGTGATATGAAGAGGGAGGTGAATGCTTTACTACAAACATTTTTACTCTCCAGCTGTTCTGATTTGAGATAGTCCAGCTTTTTTCCAGTTTTACATCAGTACAAAACTGAGTATTGATGTATTGTAGGTGTCTTGAAACAATAAGATAAACATAATTGTCTAATAACAGTGTAATGTGGTTCTGACCTGTGCTGAGGTCCACTCCAACTAGCTGACCAGACTCTTTGTACTCCATCTGCAGCTTCAGCACAGTCTCCTGTGGGTCATAGCCAGAGTTCTGGGCCAAAACCTACAAAGGAAGATCAAGGATTGAAATCAACAGGTTGATACTGACAGATAACAAATCAGTTTTGCCATTTTTCTTGTCTATGATAAACTTGGGTAAGACCAGGGATGATATCAACAGTACAACAGAGAAGCAGGAGTTTTCTAATCACACATGATGGGGGGGGGGGGTAAAAATCCCTCACCTTGGGGATGACTAGGAGAGCATCTGCAAATGCTTGAACTCCCAGCTGGGCTCTTCCTTTCACATTGGGTTTGTGTTTTACCAGAGCGTCTGCCACAGCCACCTCAAGCGCACCTGCGCCGGACACAACACTACCTGAAGAGACAAAGATGAAAAGAGGATAGTCAGAAAACGCAAGTACGATTGCTTCAGCCGAGTGAGGCAAGCACTGTGTGTTTTAACCAGTGAATCACTGACTCAAAGAAAGGCAGTTTGTTCTGATCAGCTGAATACATTGTAGGAGAGACTGAAACTCTCCTAATGCAGAGGAAAAGATCAGAGTCACTGTAGCACAGACATGAGAGACCAGGGACAGCCATGATGTTAGCATCCTTGGGTGTTCGCTGTGCAAATGAGACCAAATGCATTTTACCGAAGAAGGAAGATGATGGGAGCTAAGCTTTATTTCAGATATTATTTTTTTGATATAATCAAAATCAAGATAAGCAGAAGAAAGAGAAATAACTGGAGCAAGTGCGCCCAGGAGGGCAAATTCTGGCAATGAATGAGTGGAGCTGAAGACGTTTAACATGTGATTTATCCCTGTGACATTTGGATAGCAAAGTCTGAAAGGGCTTTACAGAGTCGCTTTAGACAGGAATCTAATCATCTCTTTTCTTAAATTACATTGAATTGACATTTAAAATGTAAATGTTAAACAGTAAGCCAAACATACAAAAATATTAAAGTTTCAGGTTCATTAGTGTCTTACCATCTTCTATGGCGTTTTTAACTGCCCGCAGACCATCCCTTACAGCATCTTTGATCTGTGTGAGGGTGTGTTTGTTGGGTCCCTTCACCAGCAGGGTGACCGAGCGAGGGTTCCCACACTTCTCGATGAATGTGTACTTCTCCTCTCCCTGCAAAGAGAGATGGGGACGATTAACAGCTCTGCCTCAACATTTTCAACATACAGTATAAAATACATAAGCAGACTGTAAGTGAAAAAACCAAGAAAACACCAAGATAAATACTCACCAGTGTGTGTTCATAAACCAACCCAGCATGTCCCAAACACTCAGCTGTGAGGTCATCAACCGAATTCATGGCAATGCCACCGCAAGCAAGGGTGAGTCTGTCAAGGAACAAAAACAAACAAACAAAAAAACACTAAGTATATTTCAATTCTTTAATGTGATTTACGTTGGAAAAATATCAGGCTACTGGGAATGCAGTCTCCCAAACTAGAGCAGCTGCGGACAGCATTAAACCGTCCTGATGTCAGGGCACGATGTGAAAGGAGCTCCCTTGTACCCACTTATATTTCTAGGAGGGAAAATATCTTCATTACCTCTCCATGTTCCTCCTCTTTGCCCTGCGCAGGGCTACAATCCCTTCCTTGGCCAAGGCATCCAGGGAGAACGGGTCAATACCCTACAAAACAAAGAAATGACATCAAAGTGGTCAAACCTCCATTTAGGTCAATCAATTCCAGAAATAATTCACTGGTGTACTCATGATGCAAAGATTATTCTGATCCGCTGAATACATGTAGGAGAGGAATGGGCTCTCCTAATGCAGAGGTACAGATCAGATTTACTCTAGCACAGTTAGAAAAAGACCAGGGTTAGCCACATTAGCATCCTTGGGTGTTCACTGTGCACTTAGCAGGATTGATCATAAAATGCATTTTCTTTTATCCAACTAATGTATGTTGTATGTCAAAAAAAAAACCAAAACTGAAAACTGATTCAGAGAAAGACAACCCTAGAGACAAACTCTCTTGGGATAATATTCTATCTATATTATCTAATATGTTAAAAGTTTCAGTAAACAGTGTTTCTGACATAGCATCAACTCAAATTAGCCAATGTAATGTGATAGTGTTGCCAGGACTGCTGATCTCTCCGAGCGGTAGAGTTAAAACTAAATTCTCCTGAGTAAGCCAACAAAACCAGGGCTAAAATGAACTTTGGATTACAATGGGATACCTGTGTTGCTCCATTTCTGCTGGATGCGAGAGGTAATTTGAGGCATTTCTCTTCTAACACATTTGCCAAAAAGAACTTCATAACACCAGCTCATAGCTGTTACCTCTAGGAAGCATTGTTTGTGCATTATACAGATGTGACAACTGACTGCAAACAACTGCAACTATGAACAGATCTGTGCCCCTTAAAAAAAAAACTTAAATTGTTCCAGCATTTTTAGATTTTCTGCTCATTTCCTGACATCCTTCACCGTTTGACATGACTGGTTGTGAGATGTTTTTATCATCCTGTACAATGTTTTTTTTTGTTTATTATATTTTTTTCTTACTTAATATTGGCTGTCTTTTAAATCACTCTTTTTTTTCACCATAAATGAGTTACTGTATGAACTACTCCCAGTACAGAGGCACAGAACTACAGTTTAAATGCCCTGCAGTTCAAACACTTCTACTACATTAAACCTCTTGAAGCATACCTTCTGGTTAATAACGACAAAACCCTTCTCTCCATTGGGACAGACTTTGTTCTTCAGGGCGATGATCTTCTGCACACGATCCTCAATAAACTTCCTTTCTGCAGCCACAAGCTTCTCCCTCTCGCCGGCACTCTTGTAGAAGAAACCAGAGTTGACCTCTGTCTTTTCATACTCCAAAGAGACATTGCAGGTCAGCACATAAGCATCCTCCACCCTCTTCTTCATGTCTGGATGTCGGGCACCGTGATCCAACACCAAACCTCTGATCAGCCTGAGAAAGACAAAACGAAATTACCTTTAGATGTGTGGGACCCCTGTGCACCCCTGCATCACTGTGCAGAGATGAACTGCCTCTTGCTCCAAGTCTGTTTTGAAACTCACTGTGTATCGCAGTCGGTCTTATGCTTCATCTCCATGATTTCCACCATGTACAGGTCAATGGGTTCATTGGGTTTAGCAATAGCCAGAACAGCATCTACTACAGCCTGCAGACAGACACATCAGCTGTCACCTCACCCAAACATTAACACAATAAATACATAACATAATAATTAACTCAGTGCATTAAGACCCTTCAAGATGGCAAAGCATCCAACTGACCCCTCAGCACTTGTATTTTTAGCTTGGTTCCCTGGTGTCTTACCTCAGTGAGCAGATCTGCCAGCTCTGCGTGAACCTTGGTCCTGAGGGAAGTGCGTGCGACGTTAATGAGGGTCTCTCTGTCCATTTCCCGCGTCACTTTCACCTCTTCCAGAACAGCCAAGGCTTTCTCTTTTGCTGCCTCAAAGCCCTCAGCAATGATTCTTGGATGAAGACCCTTCAGAAAGAAATCAAGGGGAGTTATATAAAGAAATGTCACCAGTTCAAAATTGTGAATATTGACATGGATGCTGAAGAGATTCACATGTCTATTTAGGTTAAAAAAAACATCGACAATGAACAGTACTTATGTACAATCTGGGCAGACCTGTGACTTTACAGTTTTTGCAGCCTTTCTCTTTTACCTCTGACACGTAGAGGTCAGCCTGCTTCAGCAGTTCACCAATGATGAGGACATTGGAGGTTGTGCCGTCTCCTGTAATGTCATCCTGTGCTGTGGCAACCTTTGCAATCAGGGACGCTGTCGGGTGCTGAATTTGCTGAAAAAGGGGGGGAAAGGGGAGGAAAAAAAAATTATGCCTGCCCACAAGTGCAAAAACCCATAGATATTTAGTTTATCCTACATGACAAACAGACACAGGAAAAATCCTGCCATTTGAAAAGCTCTAACCTGAGAAGGTGCAGTATTTTTTCCGCTAGTTTTGCTTGAAAAATTAGTGTAACAATTAACTATATAGCTGCTGATGAAGTTTCTGTTGATAAACTAATTGATGGACTCATAGTTTCAGCTCTAAATTACAACATGTTCTTCTGCTGTAACACAAAATAAGCAGCTTTTTTCCAGAATTTTTCACTGAGCAAACTCCATCTTGACCTATAAGGTAGCAAATTCATACATTTGATACCTTAATTTGACAAACACAAACATGATTTTCTAAAATAACAAAAGCAACCATATTCCAAAAAAATGTTTTCCAAACACAACCTACTATTAGGTAGTTAGTCAGTCATACACGTAACTCTTTATTGTTCAGTTTGATGGGAATGTGCTAGGGCTGAACAATTTATCTAAATATTATTGAAATTCTAATATGGCCTAGTGCAATATCCAAAACACAGGAGGTAAAATGTGTTACAACATACCATAGATCAAGCACTGTGGTGCAACAGAGATGCCACGACCTACAAATCATTTTCTCCAGACATAAGGGAACATGCTTGTTTAGTACAAGTCCCAGCAAAAATCACCAAACGCAAAAACATCTTTTTTTTCCCCAGTGAAAATGAAATGCAAAAATTACCACTCCAACTAAAATCACAACTTGTATCGCAATATCTGCCAACTATAATAGCAATATAATTTTTTTGCATATCATTCAGTCCTAGAATGTTCTAGCAATAATTACACAGGCTTTGATGGCATCTCCGCACACACACATACTAAGGGTGTGGTCACTGTATAACAATGAAGAAGACAGTAGAATAAGCACAAGAGAGTTTTGCAGAATAATGTCACAGATCAGCACTTCCTTACCATCTCGTGTAGCAAGACGTTGCCATCTTTGGTCAGCTTTATGTCTCCTGCCCCAGACACCAGCCTGTGGAGCAAACGGGCGGGGAAAGGTTAGAGTTAACTGAGCAGAGCAAAGGCTCCTTCACTGCAGCCTGCTGTCAGCCAATATACTGATGGCCAACAGTTGGTCAGCAGTGGTAAAAGTTTTCAGTCAGACATGCCTTCTGCATAAATGACAGTTTACTGACTGACAGATGAAGAATAACTGTAAGCAAATATCTGACTGAACTTCCTGAAATACTCCACCCGGCAATGAAAGGTAACTAACATTAACCGGTGATCGAGTCGTGAATTTGCTCATTAATTACACTGGTTACCGCTGAAGCCATGTAAACAGCACACAGCTGAAGTCTAGCTGAAACTCAATCTGACGGTTTTAGCGTTAGCATCATATGCTAACCGGCTGCTACTAACATGCTAACGTTAGCTATGTGGTTGTCAAAGCGGATCATGACGATGACTGGGCAAGGCAACGTGCGCCGGGAAAATCCGTTATCCGTTTAGCAACTGGAGGCCTCAGCTAGCTGAAATCGTGATTAAGTATTTTGTGGTGGATGGTGACACAGTAGTAAATGGAGGAATGCTTTCCAATTTTCATATAAATCCACAATTGGGTGGCGAAAGCCTGACTCCGAATGATTACAATGTTGCCGGAGAGTTGAAGCTAACGTTAGCTGCTAATGAGTTAGCACAGCACGCGTGCTGCACAAAGGGCTTCGGCAGCACTCACATTTTCATGGTCCCCTTCGGTCCCAGGTTACTTCTCAGCACATCCTGAAGCCCCCGGGCAGCACTGATGTTAACCGCCAGTGCGGCCTGGGCCCTGGCCACCTCTGCTTTTGGGTTCAGAGCTTTCACGGCAGCCATGGCTAAGCAGCACAGCCAGCGAAGTAAAAGTAAGAAGGTATCGCCGGTAGGGAGTCCGCACTGCTCGGGCTCGGACGCTCTCGAAAGGGGAGTCGTTTTCCAGAAGGCTCCAACACGTGTTCTCGTGCTGCCTTTACGTAACCCGTCTGGGCTCGGACATTCTGATTGTAGCAAAACTTCAAACTCCCCGTTCACATTAGCACGGAATTAATCAAGGGTGATCGGGCTAATCTTTTATTGCCTGGGTGTTCTAAAGACAACAAGTTAGTTATTGTAATGTGGTCCACCTATCGACACGCTCTGCGGTTACAGCTGCAGCAGCAACTGTAACTCGCAGCTCATGGAGGCATTTGAGGTAGTTTACTAAGTGCTGGCAGCTACAATTTGTGGGAGTCACAACTCTAAACAATTAACGTACGTTCCTGGAACTTTATATTAATTATAAAGTATATTTATAATCAATTTGGGGGAAAGAACTAGGTTCAGATTTTTTTTTCAGATTTCCGACATATTGTGAAGGTAGCATCAGTCACACCCCAGACACGCGCTGATTGGCCAGGTTACGCCATCTCTCTGATATGGAAATACTGCACCTCGGATGTACAGTCTGTTTTTAACAGTTAGTTTTTTTTTAACTCAGAAAATCTTTGGCATCATTAAGACTAATGGCAGCTCTCCTGGGGTTTGGCTTCTTGGTATGTTCAGGGTGTATGATGATTCTCCTTGTTGATTCCAAAACTGGATTAACAATCAGGCAAAGCTTGTATCAAGTTAAAATAAAATCAAACAACTTTTTTCAGTCTAACCAACTGTCAACAATACATGTTTAGTTTGCAAGCATAGAAAAGTTGGACACAAGCAATTTTAGAAGCTGGTACCAAGGGCTTTTCAGCATTTTTGCTTAAAATGACTAAAAACAATTAATCCACTGTCAAAAGTGTTACCAATTAATTAAATGCTAATCAATTTATTATTTCTGAAAGGCCGAAAGCTCAAGTCACAATATACAATGAATAAAAAGACTCTACGCCTCTTTCTTACATTCTCATCAGAAGTTTAATTCAATATGTACAACTAATCTTATTAAAGCACTGCATTTCACATTTACCACACTGAGATACTACTCCTCTCCTGTCCACTTGTTTATCGTCATAAGATAGTATAGAATACCCCACTTCATTTACAGATACAGCACTGACCATATCTCTGGCTTGGTCAATAAGCCCACAATGTATATCTACGATCTGACCATTAAAAATAAACATTAATCTCAGCACACAATCACCTGCTTGGCATTATTAATTCATTGCTTGATTTCAGGATCGGCCAAACCAGTCAGTGTAGACATTTGTCCTGAAGATACTGATTAGTTCTGCTGAAATCAAAAACATTTTCTAATCATTTCAATCACCATGCCCCCCTCTCCACAGCTGAAAGAGCAAGAAGTGTGGTGAAAATTCAAGTGAGAAAAGAATCTGGAGATGTGGTCAGTTTAATAGAGGAGACACAAATGGGGGAAAAGGCTCCTGACTCAGCACAACTTCACCCCCACATCTGGACAGCTCTCCAAACCAAACTCAAGCCTCCTGCTCTGACCAGTCTGACACTTTGTGGTGCGTTTGTGAACTTCAGCTTTAGTGCATCTTCACAACAGTGTCATTAGGAATCCTTTGATCCATCCAGCTGATTTTGAAACTAATTAGTGGTGCACACAATAATAAGATGGCTGGATCAGAGCCATGTAAACATAAAGTGGTATTTAGTGGAGGAGTGGATACTTGGTGAACTTTTACAGAATATAAAGCTAGAGTCTGACCGAGGCCCTACAACACAGGCCACTATCTCCAACAATCAGCCTCACTGTCAATTATAGAACACTGATTTGTAAACAGAACACTCCTCTCTGTAAAAATGACCATCACCTGTAACATTTAAAAAAAAAAAAAGCTTATCCAATTTATGGATATATGGGCGTAGTGTTTTTGTTGTGAGATACCAGAGGCAGTTACCTTTGCTTGATTTGTAGTGCAACAGGGCTTTCAAGTCATGTAAAGGTTTCTTGTGAAACACATTTTTATGAAAGACCTTGAAAAATGTTCAGCCGGTGACCAGCACTAGAACTGCTTAATGTTTGATTCATCTCTCTTCCTGGTATCTCAGCACTCAAACACTAATGAAAGTATTTTTTAGATCATAAAAAAATAAACCTTTTCAAAACTGACCCTTTAAATGAGACAGTGAAGAGGAGGAGTGTTTCAAATTATATTTTGCCTACACACAGTGCATTGATGGATCAGTAACACAGTAACTGCTGTAACAGATACAGTTTTGGTGATAATCAATTTAACCTCATGATCTGAAATAAGTCATTCTAGGCCCACACAGAAAAGGGGAGTAAAGAAACGAAAAAAAGGAAACAAAAACTAAAACGTGTTGATGTTATGCCAACATCCCTGGCAGTGCACACTCTGATGGTTGGTTACACTCTCTACAGATCAGTGTGACAGGTGCAGCGGCTGTTGAGAGGTTCTCCCGGTGTCTGTGGTTACTTCGTGGGCGAACTCTTCATGGGAATCATTATTCTGGATTCCATGTGCTGAATAAGAGGGACTGTGGGATGAGGAAGAAACAACACATTTAGCAACAGGTTTGTATGTCAAGCTTTCATGAATTTGTTGGAGTGTTTTTTGTTTTTTTTTTAAATATTGAAATCATTCGGAGTACTATGTCGAGAAGACCTGAATACAACCTAAATGCGAAGACTGGACGTTTAAGTAGTCAGTGAGAATGATGATTGATTAACTTTTATTAATTCAATCTTACCGTTAGAGTTGTGATTTGATTTTCAATCAATGTAATGCATAACAATATGATCCAAGTCTTCGCATATGCAACATAAAAACCTCAATAACATATATATTTACTTTTAAATTAAAATTTGCTCATAATCATTCATTTGGACAACAGAATTTTGTAAAATGATAACATGTTTAGATCACATCATCGTCATGATATAATTCCACTCAGAGTTGATGTATGATATTGTCCAGTGTTATCTGACAGTAAAGACAGGAGAGGTAAGTTACCTGTGTAATAAACAACTTCATCCCAGCCATCACGCTGCCAGGCTGCATTTCGGGTGTCTTCTCTGGACTGAAGGTCTTTGTAAGCTAAAAGAAAAATGTTGTTAGGTTTCAATTATTTTTACTTAAATCAACATATCATACCTACAGTTTTCACTCTTTTGGCTGAATTGGCTGAATTCTTAAATTTTTTAAATTATATAGGTTAGTTCCATGACCTAAAAAGTATGTAATATAGTTCTTGAATAGTCACACTGAAACTAGGTGGAGAAAATATAAAGAACATGAAAGATGCACCAACTAAACTGGTAAGGAATTTATAAACACATTTGCTTAATTATTTGCAATACAACAATGCCATAATATTGCAGAATAGAACTTTAGTGTGTATTTTTCTCTAAAAATATCATGATGCTGCACAGTTCATTAAACCCAGGAAACACTGCTCACCCCATAAGTGATGAACCGTGTACAGGCTTCCGATCTGAGAGAAAAAGCCTCCCACTGCCTCTTGGTTCTGCTGGCGAATCTCAATAGCACGCGCCCTGGAGAGAACAAAAGAGTTGTGTTACATGAGAGAAAACAAAAAAACAAAAAGCTTGTTATTGAGGAGTTGCACTGATTATATCACCAGTATGAATTTGCAGGTTTTAAAGTTCAAATGATAGTGACACCAATATCCCTATAATTTCTTTACAATCAAAACATCAAATTTTGACGTTACAACCTCAGAATTGTTTTCAAGGCAAATAAGGCAAATTTCATGGTCATTAGGAATTTAATTAGATATGCTCACATATTAAATCCAGCGTAAACAGGTAAATTATGCTTGAGATTTATAAATTATGTGTGATATTTCTAGTCATGCATTAGGAGTCATGCATCAGTTTTATAGTCAGAAAGTACCGTCAACTCATATTCATCTGCTACAATCTGTAAAACCAATAAAAAAAGTAGTGAGGAAATTTTTAAATGGCTCTACAATGGAGAGAACGCTTATGAGTTTCTCGGATTAACTTTCAATATGAATCCAATTTGATGACTTTCTGATAGTACATATGCATAAATAACATGCAGAAAAAGGACAACGATTTATAAAGTTATGTCTTACCAGTAATTTCCCCACTCGATCATCGTCCCTGGCTGAAAAAAAAAAAAATTGAAGAGGGGAGAGATGTGGAAAGTAAGTTGTTGAACTGTTCGGGGATAGCAACAGAGAAGAACGTATATTTTTGTATGATGGGAGTAAGCTGGTTAATGTGTTATGTAATCGTCAGAGTTACCCTGAGTTGGTATGATCGGAGCTCGTAGATGTTGGGTCCTGAGCGAGGGACAGGTTCGTTCCAGAAACTGAACTCCAGCAGCAACTGGTTCCTACGAGACAGCAGCATCTTCCCCCTCTCTCTCCTGTAGTCCATAAACTCCTACAGCAACAACAAACAACAGTAACACGTCACTCAGTTAATCCAGCTCAGCCCAGCAACTCTGGTCAGATAGCAGGATAGATGAAGACAATAAAGTTAGCATCCAACGCACTAAAATCACCTCTTGTATCATCTAACGTGCTCAGTTTTGTTGGAATACATATGAATAAATTCTTCCATGAGATCTTGAATGACCCGGGTCACTGTGCATTAACTGTCTGGGAATGTACAAATTGAAACTGTAATATTCAGAATATTTTACAAAGTAATTTACCTCACTAATTTGCATGTTTGCAATTAACAACAGCTTCATATTAAATAGGTGGTGCCCACTTTAATGAATAACATATATGTGCGCAAGTACATGTATTTGTGATTTACAATTGTTGTACTCATTTTCATTCTGAACAATATTATGTTCTTAAAATCCATTAAAGTTTATTTTTGGTGAAGCTTCAGACCACCTGACTTAAAAAACAATTAAAAAAACACAATAATACAATATGGATAAGGTGAGATTGGGTCCATTAACTGCACTTACCTTACTTATTTAAAGTATATAACTGCTTTTCTGTAAATAAGTTTTGAAGATAATTGCACCAAATTCATAATTACACCAAATAGCTGGAAACATCGCAGATAAAGAACACAGGGAGACAGAAACTGGAAAATGCTCTTAGGATCTAATTGGAAGGGGTGCACTGCCAGAAAATTTGGCCTACAGGTCACCAGCTGCCAGTTAACTGAACTAATCCAAGCACCCGTTACCTTATTCTGCCTGAGTTTGTTCATGACTTCGGTGAGAGCCGGGTATCCTCCCCGATATCTCCACAGGTGAACTAGAATAGAAGGAGCAGAAGAGCTAAAAATAATGCAGCTCTAAAATATATCCTGGTGTGTCTGTACTTCTTTGGACAAGATATTCTTTTAAGTCAACAACTATAGTTCAATTATTTATCTCTTTAGGCCACCTGTGATGTGGAGGTATGATGAGATCCAGTGAGTCAACCATGAATCTCTGTTCAGTTTCCATGAGGAAATCAAATTATCTTACCACTGGTATTAAATCTTATAAAATGTGAGATTCTGACAAAAAAAAATCACATTTAGTAATTTACTAAAATGAAAATGAGACAATGAAAAATCTCTTCCCATTATGTAATAAACATCTACTCTGCTACCACATGAGATCAGTTAAACCTGATCAGAACCAAAAAGCTGCCACAATGCAGGGTAATAATAATAAACTGACTCCAGTGATCAAGTTGAACTGAAGAAATCAGTTATAAAAACTGTTTTTACATACATTTTACAGGACTAAACATGTCAAAAGTGACAGCTATCTCTGATAAAGAACACCATGTAAACACAGTCTTTTGGATTATCTTCACTGTAGGTGCCAATATTACTGCGCAGTAACATTAGAGGCAGATTACAGCTGAGGAAGGACAAATGTCACCATACAAACAAAATGGACAGCAGCCAGGAAAAGGGCAGTACAGTCACAGCTAAAATTAACTGCAATATAAAAGCTGACAAAGTGCAGGTTTGTGTCACTGAGAAGGAGAGCAACTGCAATATTCGTAGGAAATGTCAGAGAAAATGTCACAGTTCATAAAATCCTCTAAACCTCACTTTGTTTCCAAGCAGCAGCATCAGCAAACAATTTAGTATCTCTGTCTAGTAACATGGGAGGTTCCATGAGAAAATGAGATACATTTTCAAAGTGATTGATTTCTGATTTATTTGTGTAAGTGGTTCAATGCAGTCTACCTTTAAAGCCTTACTCTGTCCATTATTTTTTCAACTAATCAATTAATATTCTAGTTTATAAAATGTCATTCTCTAAACTGCTGTCAAACACCTTTACACACAAATTCTCACATTTGAGAGGAAATGTTCAGCATTTTTGCCCCTGCATAATCAATTACTGTTGTCAATTAATTTTCTGTTGATTGATTAATTACCTGGTCCTATTAGCAGTCATATCTTGTGAGTTTTTTAATTAATGTTTTAACTTTTGAAAAGGAAGTTTATGTTTCATTTAAACTACCTGATTGTGGGGGCTATCAGTCAGTTCAGAAGCAGATTTATAACTTGCATGTATTTAAGAGTGTGACTAATGTAACCTTGAGACATGCATGCTCTTACCTGCCTGATCCTGCTCTCCGTACCATGTGTTCCAAGTGCCCACAAGCTCACAAGGGTATTCAGGGTCAGCGTGAATCGAAGGCAAGACGCCCTCACTGAGGATAAACACGCAACACACACAAATGTGTAAAAATGCAAAATATATGCAGTTTCCAAAACCAGTGCCTTGATCAGACAACTGAATGAAATCAGTTAAGGAACAGGGATTTCTTACCAAAGTTCATTGTAAGCATCAAGGCATTCAGGCTTGACATTGTGAACTGCAAAGAAACAACAATACAAAGTTGATAATACACCATCAAAAAGAATTCATAAGATAGATTAGGCAGAAATGTTTTTCATTTTTACATCCACTCTTCTTAAAACGTTGAAAAACACACAGTCAGCGTGATCTTGTTCAGCACTACCAAGTAGTAAACAATACATACACTGTATTTTGTATAGATTGTTGTCTTCTTTCTTAGCGAGCAGATGAGAGTGAGCATCTTTTCTTGGGTCGACCTTTCTAACAAATAGAGATTTGAACCAGCTGTCTTCACGGAACCCTGAGAGGCTCCTGTGGTGGAACAAAACACAAAAGTTGTATACAACCAGCATTTCCTCTGCTACACAATGAAGAAGTAAAAGACTAGACAGCAAATGCAGCATACAATTATGCTGTGTGTTCTCTACTACTGTAATTCTATTAAAGCACTTTGGCTCTCCAGTCCATTTCTGGCCTGCTCACTAACTACAGTCAGGCCTCTCAGGCTATCAGGTGGCGGTTTTTCTGACTGTACCTAGCCCAGTTGATCAAAACAAAAGTTCAAAAGCAAACTGATAACATTTTCTAAAGCATATGATTAATTACTCTGTGGGAATTTTTTTCCCTGTATTCTTTTTTCTTCTCTTCTGTTCATGTTAAAAGTATTTCTTCATGTGTAAAGCTATGCCAATCAATCCTACAGGCCAATATGTAAGCTGATAGGCCTATTAGCTCATTGCAGTTTTATCCAACTTGGTGCATGTGTAAGCCTGTAAGTAACAAGAAAATTCAGTATTGAAATTCAAAACTTATGTTTGAGGTTTGCTTGTTCAGTTGACATGTTCGATACAATTCTTTAATAACTACATTAAAGGGATCCTTATGTTAAAAAAAACCCACACTGACCAACATATTGTTGAGTTTTTAAAGCGTTCAAATATCCTTATTGATAATGGCCTCAGTTTACTCATGATAAAATGTTTACTCTGATAAAATGTGTAAAACAAGTTCTTCTTAATAAGATTGAGATCAGTGGAAAATACGCAAGTTGGGATTGTACACTAGTTCACAATGTCTGAAACGAAAAATCGTACTTTGTACAAATATTTTCGACTATGCAACTCATTCATTGCAAAGAAACTCAAGCAATAAGCTGTACATACTGCACATAACCAGAGAATCAGTCTACATAAACGCATTGGCAGCCTCCCCACGTGAGTAGAATTAAGTTTTCAGGTAATAAACTTAATTTAAAAGTGCCAACAAACACTCCATGCAGTGGTTACATATGTTTATCACGAAGTAGTCCTTTGACAGTTTGCCAGCTCACAAGCACAACTATTACTTTACACACTGTGTTCAAAGCTGTCACATTTAAGCATATTTTTAGAAACATCACAGCATTTCAGTTGTGAGCATTTTTACACTATAGGGTAGGTTTAGGACACAAACCTGCCGCAGCAAGAAACTGTGTCACTCACTTATCAAAACAAGTACTGCTGTGCAGCGATTCGTTGCATTTTGACCTTGAAGTTATATTCAGTTTGGGACTAACAGAAACTCAGTTATGATTTTGTATTATTTCTGTACATGAAAACTACAACTTACAACGGATCGAACAAAATTACAAAGTATGCAAGGGTGAGTGCTACGCAAGTTGCTTCACAACTTTGTAATTCGGGAGAGTAATAATTAGCATTAGCGTAAAGTTAGCAACTTTAGAGCTAGGAGCTAACTCCAGCTAACTACGTTGCACGGAGACCTTAACGTAGCCAACGTCCCCAGGTTAGCGTTAGCTTAGCCCCCTAGCATGCCGGACCATGTCATTGATGCCAACTCCAGCGACAGTAAACACGTTTTATGTGACATTTCTACATCTGCAATGACAAATTACATTTGCAAAAGTCTAACCTGACGACAACCGTGACCTGTCCGTGCGCCTGGAGCCCATTTTTCGTCTGTTTAAGGCCGTTGCCCACTCTTTGAAGGACTCTGGTCGCCATCTTTTCCCTGAAAGCTGCTGTCAGTTGGAGGTTGTGAGTCGGGCTGCAGCCGCACACCGGGCAGGTCCCGTAGGAGCTGACGTTACTTACAAGAACGTAACCCCATGTACCTGAATCAGTTGTTAACATTAACATTGCGTTTACATTGTGTGATTAATTTGATACGCAGTGGTCCGATGATAATAGACACGGAGTGGTTAAAATTACAGCAGGTGATTATAAACATCTATAACTCTGATTTCCAACCTGCTCTTGATCAACGTAGAGAGTTGATAACACTCTTGATGCTGTTGCGATGAATGTCTTTCGGCTTTTAGGCTTTCAACAATACATTGAACTAAAGCAAATCTCTGTAGATAACTTCCACTTTCTTTCGACTAAAAATTATAACTTATTTCGTTCTGAATATAACTTGCACAAGCCTCAAAACAAAAGACTGACACAAATGATATTTTCATACACACACGCACATTTGTGCATGAAAAAAAAAGTCTTAGTAAATTACAGAAGACTTACTGAATAAATATCCATAATAAAATACCAAGTAAAGACTGCACCAATGACTGATATTGATTAAATATGCTTTTGCATTATGTACCCTGTACAGAAGACAATAAGTGTTCACGTTTTATTATGACTTTGTGATGTCTTTCAAAAACAGATCTTTAGTCTGAGAATAGAAATGAGCACCATGCATGCATGTTTGTCATTTTATTGTAAATTCCTCAGAAATATTTCATGAGTTCAAACTACCTGAGAAGGCAGCAAAGGAAAATGTATTCAGCTCTCATCCACATTATTACATCATCATATTATACGACAAGATTACTGGTTTATAAACTTATATTTACATGAAAACCTGAAACAGAAACGTGTTTGAGCTAACATTACTGCACAGAAAAGTTTTCTATCATGGAGCTGGAGTTGGTGCTGGCGAGGAGTCGGCTCCACTGGAGGCAGCAGTGATGTTGAGCTCCTGTAGTTTTTCTGTCAACGTCGTCTCCTCTCCCAGGCTGAATGGAAGGTCAGTCAGGGGCTCCACAAACTCAGTTCCTGCAACACTCTTCCCTGTCAGTGGGTCGACCACCCGCCCTACTTTATACACTATCTCAGCCAGTTCATGCTTCACATGTTTGGACCTGGCTTCAGGCAGAGCCTTGAGTAGGACGATATCTCCCACAGTGCACTGCCGCAAAGCATCATGGGCAAAATAAGTCTTCCTCTTGTTGTAGTACTATGGGAAAGAAAAGATATGATTAGACTTAGACAGCAATCAATCATTGATCAGAAAATGAATAACACAGCTGTAAACAATGACGTTAATCACATGCAACATGTGGTTGCAAGTATTTAATTAGAATTTTATGTTGAAGTGCAATCACTAACAAAATTATGAAGAAAAGTGGGCAAATTAATATGTTATGGGCCACTTGTAATATTTCAGACAAATTATCACAAGTTTAATAGAGGAAAATGCAGTTACTGCAGTACAAAGTGATTGTACAATTGTTTATATAATCTGACAGCAAGCAATTTGGATGTGTTTGATTTATAATAATATGAAACAGAAGAGAGAAAAGAAACTGCAATCACATTCATGAAGCTATAAACTGTAAGTCTTCAACATTTTTACTTGATAAATGAGGAAACCATTGTCATTAATCTTACAACTGGAATCAGTTTATGTAATTCATCGAGTAGTTTCCAATCAACTAATCATCTACCAGTAATGTCCTTTCATAATACTTATACTAATACGTAATACTTTTAATGCAGTTAGAGGTTTACCTTGAGCAGGTAAGGGTCCAGCACCAGTCTTGTGACTCTCACTTTGGCAGTTTTGTACATCTTGGTCCCTATTACTCTGCCGATGATCCATTTGGCATGGACTGATGCCTGCTTGACCGACATTCTGGAAAGTGCTATTCAACCCTGTGATATAAAAGTAAAAGAAAATTTTACATTTTGTCCCCAGCCTCTTTTGTAGGTCAAATATTATGATAACACAATATCTGACCTTTGTCCAATGGTGGAAGAAGTATTCAGATCCTTTAGTATGAAGTATAAATACCAATACCAGAATATAAAAGTACCCAATTACAAGTAAATGTCCTGCATTGTTTTGATTAATGGGAAAGGAAAGAAGCTTTGATAGATAAATCTGTTTTCAGGTTTTGGACTTTATTTCAATCTTTTGTGCTCCAAAGCAAAAAAGGGGTTGTAAACTACTGTTTTAACCTTGTTTTTTTATAAACTCACAGTATTTTGTAACTAGTAATTTTCCCTGCTCAGATAAATGTGGTAGAGTAAAAAGCTCATTATTTCCCTCTGAAACATGTTGGAGTAGAAGTATAAGCAATATGAAATGGAAAAATCACAATACTACAGAATTGTACGTTAAGTTACTCTAAGTAAATGTACTGCATTACCTTCCACCACTGCAGCTGTTGAATTTATTGCGATTTTTAACTTAAAACGGACAGTTTGTGTTGATTATTACACTATCATATTAACATGAGTTTAAAACTGATACTTTGCAGGACCATTTACGATTACATTATGTACGTTTCGTGTCATAAATAAGAGGAGGATGACATTAGAAGGCAAACAGCAGCTACATTTAGCTTCACTGCGGCTTTAACTTCACAACCACATTCATTCAAGAGCAGCAGTTACACGCTACATCGACTTTATTTGACATCAACGCAGATTAACACTGAAGGTAAGGAGTGAAAAAGAGACTCACCAACACTATTACATAGGAAACTCTTTAAAAGGTCAAAAATTCCTCAGCGACGCAGCTTCTCCATGCTGCTTAGGTCGGCTTGTTTTGATGACGTGACTACGGGTAGTAACGAGGTTCAGAATGTGGACTAAAGATGCGTGCGTTTTTTCCAAAATACATCCATGGGATAAGTACGTCGTGCGTACTTATGCGCGTATAACCCAAAATTACAGAAGTATCAAGGGTAAAAAAAAAAAGAAAAAAGTAGCCTAATGCTGATTTACAATTAGTTTTAGAGAAGAACGGCAGGGGGTGACATGCAGCAAAGGGACCACCAGAGCGCCGTACTGCGGTCTTCTGCATTTTCTCACAGCACAGTCTATTGCTAATTGATAAACTTCTCAAACTTCTTCTACAAAGGACAAAATTTGGCAGCAAAGAAAAGCACATTGCGACATTACTCGTCATGCATAGGTACGTCGTTGATAAGCTCGTAGCCATCACTCGTCGTGGATGTATTATTTTATTTTGTTCAAATCAAATATCTGGGACAGTAATTTACTTAATGAAAATAAATGGGTTCTGTGACAGCTACATTTGTGGACATTGAAATTCTGCAGTGTGGTGGAAATATTGTATTGTATTGAACTATTTCATAACAGAGTCACACCATGCAGCCTGGCACTAAATTTACATATACAATATCAAATAACAGTGACTTAATTAATAAATATATTCAAATACGAGTAAAACTGAAAAGGCGAATAAGAATACGTAGAAGACGTGCTATATGAATATACTTCAAAATAGAAAGGTAAGAAAGTAAAGCCCTCGTGATAATTTTATCTGACAAGTTGTAATATCTGTCACATGGGGACTCTGCATGACACATGGGTGGCATTTTTTCTATACTTACTGATTAAACCCTGCTTTATTGTGTTGATGCTGTTGGCCTAACTGTTTATTTCCAGTGTGTTTTAAGGACTAAGAAAATGAAAATTTCATTTTGGCCACGAGATGGTAGCAGAGAAACAGAAGAAGAGAAGAGACTTTACTGTTCCTAAAATGGGTGGCAAAAACAAAAGGTATGCATGGAGACAAACAATATGAGCATTTTTTACAGCAACAGGACAGGTGTAATGGATTATAACTATATTGCAGCCTGTGTGATACCGACACTGAGCTGCAGATGGTTCTCCTCAGTCCACCTGTTGATGCTCAGTTTAACTGATGTAAATAGGACTGCAGGGGAGGCAGAAAAGGCTGTGAAAACCTGTCATCCTAAGGGAGAAAGGAGGTGACAATCAACAACTGAACATCATCCAAATTTATGATGGTGCAAAAACATTAAGAAAATTAAGTTAGTGATAGTAATGATCTGGTTGTAAGGAAGAGGAGAGCGGCCTTGGCTCCAGTCTTTTTTTTTCACTCCTGCTATTTCACGATCATGAATTTTCTTTTGACATAACAAAGGTTTTCTTAAGATGCAGCATCTGATTGATCTGGCAATATACGATGTAGAAAATCCCAGTATTGATTAGTACTTCAGAGAGCAGGCCAACTAACACAGGCAGAATTTGTGTCTCTGTTGGACGTACCATCCAATCAGCCATCCTCATTTTACACAAATCGGGCTGCAACTTCACAGAGGAATGTATTTCAGTGATCCTGCTGACATTGGTCACTTCATTACTACCCAACAATTTATGAGGGATATTATAATCAGAGAGGTATAAATTGCAACCTGTAAGAGCATTCTGAGGTTAACAAGACTAAGAGCCTACAGCTATGCCAGCAGCTCTTTAGTGTTGTACCCGTCTACGGGGGCCAAGATAGCTCAACACACTGCATCATCAATTAGACAACATGTGCTGCAAATACACACAACCAAAAAATAAATAAATAAATAAATTGCATCCTTCAACATCTGTATGGTGAAAGATTATCAATGCTCCATTAATTCAGTGTCTACTTTGATATTGATTTCTTTGTGCCAGACTTCTGCAAAAGGACTGCAAAATTAACAATACCCTATCCAGCCATTTGGCAATGACAACCGCTCTTCTGGATCTCCACTAAAGCATCTATAAGTGGGAGAGATTTACACAGATGCATTCACTGCGTCCCTGAGCAGGAATTGGCTGTGGCTCAGAACCAACCACAGGCAGACCGATCTGGCCTTAATCAGAGCCATGTTGTAGTAAAGCACAGATCTGGGTCTCTGTTTCCCATTTAAGGCAGTGCAGCATTGGTATACCTCTGCCAGAATTACAGCATTAGACAACTTTAGTCTCCTTCATACAAGAACACTGAGACAATTCACATAGTACCAACTGTTTTCATACTGTTCCCTCTTAAATGTGTTCTCTGCCTACAAATACTGTAATGCTACACTGATCATCAGAGCAGAGATGATGCATACGCTGGCTCCCACCACAGCCATTATCATATAACGTATAGTTATGGGACTACACAATATAAAGGCTGTTTTATTGCACTCTTGTGATGTCAATGAGCACAGGAACAGCTCCACTATAAGGTCAACCTCTTATCAAATCTGTGGGTAAGCCTACAAAAGCAGCTCACATGGTATCAATGGCCATATTACAATATTTATCCAAAGATAATGGCATTCATACCTAATTACAAATGCAGCCAGTGTTTTCATATATGAGAGGGCTGACATGGTCAGTTATCAGCTCTGAATCTTGTGAAACCGAGGCTGTCGTGACATAAGACAGAGGCCTGATAGCAAATGGGCTGTGATTACATATGTATGTTTTCTATGATAACATGCTGACCTCTTAATCGGCAAGTTTTATATTTTCAGATTAACACGCTGCACTAGTGTTGGCCTACATCCTCTTGTTTAAGTTATTGGCCCCCAGATATGACATTTTTCAAAAGATTAGACTATTTAGCCAGAGTGTTTGTGTATGACTTTGAACAAGCCTATTGCTGAATTAAAATCCGCCTTTAGGACCTGTGCATGGGGTCATTTTAAAGCTGGGAAAAGTCGATACTGGGAAGAATTGGTTATGAGAGAATGTTTTGTTGTTTTTAAAAGAGTTTTTTTTTTTTTTTTTTTAAAAAGGCCACAATATCCCACAGATTGATGTTGGAAGGTGGATATGGGACACCTTCCTCTTTAACCTCCAAGAATTTTGCTTTTGCACATCTTCATTGTCTCAACATCTGAATCATACTTGTTTTGGACACACAAGAAGTGACAAGAGTAGTTGTGCAAAGAAAGAAAAAATCGAGGTTGGGAGAGAAGCCTACGCCTACCTCACACATCTGCACATCTTGCCAACAGCAAGTGGGTTGAGTCCTTTAGGACTCAATTATCAAAGTAATTTGATTAACAATCACAGAATATGTTCGAGATTTGAGCAACCACCTGGACTAAGGAATCATCATCCTGAAGAATATACACAAAAACATGTTTAATAGATATGATACAGTCTGGACCTGGACTTTTCTGTCCATTCTTATCTTCTTTTTTATTTGACTGATAAATCTATTCATTCCAACCTCTTGTGCAGTCTGTGAAAAGGTCAGTCAGTGTCTTCCTCATTCAGCTTCCAGCACTGAGGGTTAAAAGTTGAAAGCGAGATAGCAGATTGGTGGCAGCAAGAACCGAGGAAGGGCGAGGCATGGCGAAGAGGAAAACGCTTGGCTAGCGCTAACGTTTGTGGTCCATGTGAAAGGCCAGTGAGTCATAGACTGGCAGGCTAATGTGTTTGTTTCCACGGTGGATTGACTGTAGGATTAATGAAAGTGTTCCCCTTTTGGGCTGCAGCCAGAATTTAAACAGAGCTGGTGATGATTAGACAGAGATGATTATCCTGGAGGCCCTGTCTGTCTCTGACTATCTGTGCACCTTCTCTCATCTTTTGTTCTCCTCTTACAGTTTAAGTGTTGCTTTAATCTCGGTTATTGATGATTTGTCTTTGAGACGAGCACCGGCACGTGGCAGAGCACTTGTCTGAGCAGAGTTCACAAAGACACACAGCTAAAGAAACTGCCATGCTTGAATAACTGTTTTGTGGTTTGATTGTATGTTCTGTTCCTTTGGGGCTTTTTACAGTGCACGGAATAATGGCTGTTTTCAGTTATGTGACCTACTGCTTGAGTTACTTCTCTCAAAGTGAAGTTCGCTTTCACACACCACCAGTAGACAAGTGTCCTGCAACTGTAAAACTCCAGCACACAATATACCGAACTCACACTTGATTCACACCTCTCCAAATACAGCTGTGAAGTAGTATACACGGCTACTGTTAGCCTAAACCACTATCCACCAAGGTCTGCGGCACCACACCAGTCCAGCTGTTGGTAATAAACCTTTAAACTTGGTGTAGGTCTGACAATCATGTAAAGACACGAAGACAAAGATCTGAGCTCAACTGAGCGGAGCCACAGGATGACATTATACTATTAAGCATGTCCCAGTAAGCTCTGATAAACCTGCACACGCTTCAGGCTTCAACAGACACTTAGGCACTGCTGGCAGTTAATGGAAACATGTATCACACGAAGGCACTTGACTACATGTAAATATCAAGTATTTAGGTGCAATATTGGAACCAAAATACTGTGGAGTATTATTTGAAGGTTTATCTTTTTACAGTTTATATTATTGATTGCAGTGGAATTAATAGACTTTCAATAAATATTATTGGTTGTCAAAGACACTCTGGACCACCTTCAAGAGTTCAGAATCAAACTGAGGGAGCAAAGGATGAGAACCATCTGTAGGGATGCTTATGACTTCATCACTTTACTCTAAAATCTGTGTCGTCTGGGATTTCCCTCTAATTTTTCTGGCCATTGTGACTATTATAACGAGCTTACTCATACGCCTGGATTCATGACCAAACCACGCTGTCAAGAGAAATGTTAGCGCACTCTTGATCTGTGTTTTGTAAACTATTTCAAGGACTGACTGACTCACTCTGTATGTGTTTGGTCTCCTTAAAAGATTAAGCATTTGTGTGCATTTCTTATAAATATGGTTAGTATTTTAAGACATTTGCTCATCAAGTTCAACTGGTCCTGCTGTTAAATAATATTTTCTTTAGTCTTATCAATTTTAATCTCCTGTA